ACTGCATGTTTACAATTCATAAATCTCTATTGCAGAGTGGCAGAAAATCATTTCAACATGTATTAAAATGTCCATCTCAATAAACCAAAAGGCAGCAGAAATCTGGAACTTACCAGGACACTCTTTCATTCTGTATTATAAAGGCTTGTGTAAAAGTTACTGAAATTTGGAAGCTCATAATTGTTTTCTGTAATTTTTACAGGTAATGTTTGCTTGTAATATTTGGTCTTTTCTGTCTTAATTATCCAGAGCAGCCTATTTTTTGAGTACATGTGTGTCGGTCTCCATCCTCAATTAGATGGAAGTGGACAGAAAGTTGCAGGGATGTGTGTGTATGAATGTAGGAAAGTGGAATAAAATACCGAGATAAATCTTCCAAAATTCTTGGAGGTAAGTAAATCAACAGAAACAGATTGGATGTGTCATGTTTCACCAGATGGTTCCTAGATTAGCTGCTTATGTTAATTACCTCTTCTACTGTCTCTTTATAAAGATCTACTCAGACTCAGCACGTGAAGAGTAACAACTAATGGCTCATATCCTTGAGGCACTGTGCCACCACTGTTTCCTGCTAGACACAGCTCTTTTAATAAAAAGAGCGACTAAAGAGTCACAGAATGTAGAAAATTGAATAACCCTACTGCTTGCAGAACCTTTGAAATTCTCTGAGTCATATACTATGTTTATTTTCTTTTTGAAAGTTAGTCAGGATTAGAGTGATTTAGGGTGTTCATTGTCTCTGAAAACTTTCTGAGAATTATTTGGCAGTTTATATAGTCTGTTTTACTGTTGCTGTTTGTTTCATGAATCATGTATTTAAGAAGAAGCTGCTTGGCTGGAAGCTTTAAAAGTGGATTAGGCACACTGTGGACACACTGTGGATTCTCTGCACACCTCCTGTCCCTTCAGAGGCAGTCTGATGTACGAGGGTGGGAGATGATTATACGGCTGGGACATGCCAAGCAGGACCTAATTGTATTAACGCAGTGACTTGAGGTGAAGGTAATAGTACCAGATCTCTGAAATCTCAATGATGTGATGCAGAACTGAATGCTAGCTTTTAAATGTGTCCCATGTCCAGAAGGGGTACAGGCAGGCACACATACAGTACCTTCATTAGCAATGGTTCAACATGTTTTTCATCTGCACTGGGATAGTTATAGTTATGATGTTATATTTATAGCTTTGTCATCCAACCAGTATTGATGGAAGGTATTGCATAAAATATTCACTATGTTGGAAAATGTATATATACATTATTTTTAAATGCAAATACAGTACTATTAGCTGTCATATATGTCTTCTTGTAATGTTCTGTCCATTTGTAGCTCTTCAACTGACACATCTAAGGGATGATATGGTGTAGAAGCTTATCAGAGGGATATTGTCTGTAATACAGGGCTTAAATCAAGCTGTTGAACACCAAAAATCTAGTATCTATTTCCAGATCTTGTCTCTAGGCTAAGGCTGTTAAGGGTGGAAACTACACAAAGTGCAGCTTCACTATTTCCATGATTACTAATTTATTTGGCTGATGCTTTGTCCACCTAATATGGAAATTGAAATTGCACCAGCTCCAAGATACTTTGCTCAAGGCTATAACAGCAGTGTGTCACCTGGGATTTGAACCCTCAAACTCCAGTTAGGAGCCCAGAGCCCTGCCCATGTCTCCAGACTGCTGCAAATAAAGATATTTGGAAAATACTGTAAGTTTTGTTTTCATCATGATTGTGCCAAATGAAGATATTTGAACTGTAGTGCAAGGGCTTAATGTGTTGACACAGAGCACAGGAACTGGGACATGCAATAAAATCTTGTTAAATTGCAGTAATATTATCTGTAATTCATGCAGATACATACCAGGGATCTCTAATACATATGAGGATTTTAAAGTAACTCTGTGGCTGAAAGGAATAGACAAGTAAACTGAGTGTAAAATATTGGTGAACGTTTCTTGTCATCATGACCTCCACGTTTCAAAATTTCAGAATTTTGATTTGCTTTTAGTTACAGTTCAATCGAGCAGATCACACTTCAGAATCGCAGAACAGCTATGAGAATCGGGCCAGAGGTTGGAAGATTTTCATTTCAGCTTGTATTTACATCTAGCTTTTAAATGTGTCAAAGACACATTTACCAAGTCAGCATGTCAGTTTTTCTTTCCTGTATCCAAGATTTGCGTAAGCATGAATAGAGTAAGGTCTGCTGTCATGCATTTTTCATTAAAACTGCCTTGAAAGATGTTTACTGGATAATAGGGTAAGGGGCTGTAGAAAACCTTCTGTATGAATTTGAATCCTGCAAACAGGAAACCTGCTCACGAGCATTTGTGTAAGTTATTTTACTTTAATTTAAAATGTGAGAGCACCAGTCTTAATATCATGAGTGTTAATGAATAATTCTCACCTTTTAAAATGAAAGAAACTCTGAGAGAAAGATAAAGCCCTTGCTTGTGGAAGCTTGTCATGCTGTGAATTAGTGATAAGTTATTTCCATAATGTATGCTGTTTTCTGTTTTTTCTGTTTTTGTTTTTTGTTTTGAGGCCACATTGAGGTACTTCATGTAACATTTCAGCTAACCAGTTTAAGTTTGTTTATTCAGCACTTTTACAGGTTCTTAAAAACACCAGTCATTAAGAACACTGAATTACATTGCTGTTACAGTAAAACCATTAATACACACACAATTCTGAATACAATAGTATTACAAAATTGACACAAATATCTAGAGACATAAAATCCTATTGCTTTAACCTCATGTAGTGACCCTAGTCTAAAATCCATAATTATTTAATAATCTATTTTATTTAATAATTAATAGTAACTATTGATTTAATGTTACAATTTTGGCTTTGTTTTATCCTATTCAGTAAACTGTCCAAAAATCTGAATCTGAAAATGGGGCTTGTTACAAACATTTTCATGTTAGTATAGTGTTAGTGAATTCAGTTTGACCTTGTAAAACGGAGTGTTAAAAGATCGCTTTGTTCTACAGAAAAGGCAATTTAAGATCATAATGACTTCCTAATATGGAGTAGTATAAGATGTGGATTTTTGCCTTGTAGTTGTCTCTAATTGCTATTGTGGTTGAAAGTAAAATTTGTGTCATACTGATTACACCAAAAAATATCAACACTTGCAATTCTGCTTAACAGGGAGCCTGGAGTTCTTTTATATAAAGGAAATTGAAGAGTTGTGTGTTTCGCAGATAAGGGTTCCTCTTTGATTGTGAAAGGTCAGTGAGATTGTGCTCCCCAGTGATTTGTTTTCCGTATCTGACCTTTCCTGTCAAAGGTTATGTTCATGAATCTTTCAGGTGCCCTCTGAAGGGTCACTGCTCACTATGCCTTGCAAATTGCCATAGCCACAATATCACAAATATTGTCGCAGATATTTGTAGCATTCCATGAAGTCCATAATTACTTTTAAACATTTGTTTTCCAAAACCTGAAAGTGTTACAGTACCAAGTCAAAAAAAAAAGGTGCCAGTCATCCATGTCGTCATTATTTTAATTCACCCACATTTGTGAACCATTTTAGAGATCTACATCCCAGGAGTGTTTCTTGGTTCTCTGATTATTATTTTTTTTGCCCACCTCTATTCAGATGTGAATGGATTATGTGCTTACATTTGATGGTCTTTGCTTAAAATAATCTGTCATCTTGGTCAATATAAAAACATAAGGTGCAATAATTTGATTTTTTTTTTATTCACTCACATTTAGCAATGTTTTAACTTTCAACAGTTGGAAAGGAGCAAGTAAAGGTTAAATTACAAGCCAAAAGATAGAAAGGGGAAACAATGTTTCAGCAGTTCAACTTCCTTCAAGGTCATTTTCTTTTCAGAAATTTTATACAGCTTCTGTATTCTTTCTCACAGGCAATTTCGAAAGGTTATATTTAGCTAAATTGTATGTACTGTTTGCCAGAAATCACATCTCAACTTGCTGAAGGGCTGTTTATAAATTTATTTACCTTCTACGTGTGAAAACTGGTGCAATGATTAGATTGTTGTACATAAAATGGCAAAATTTCTAAATTTCTAAACTAAATTTAAAGTCTGTGCTCATTATGCTTGTCTGACCTTGTCTGACCACTGTGATGTTAATGGCAGATGGAGACATGAGTCAATATCATTCATTACTTTTTGCAGTCAGGACTCATATACACACTTACCCCTTAAAATTGAGCAGATATGAAATTATTAAATGCCTTTTGATATGCCAGCCCTGTAGGCTGGTGACAGGTCTGTCCTAGCATGATTGTGTGATTCGGTCTTGAACTGCGCCTATCAAACCAGCATTGAGATTCATCACCCTCCTCTCACAGGGCAAGTTGTGATTAGTTTTTACCTGACCATGTGGCGTGATGAATTTTTCCCACGAGACTGCTCCCGAATTGATGATTGTACAAGAGCTGCATTAAATTGACATTTTAATTAATGGCAAGCCTTGGCATATTGATTCTCTTTAATTCTAGAGGTTGAAGTATGGAGCCACCATTAGCATCACACCTACCATGCCTAGGGATGTTAAATATTTGAACAGGAAAGCATTACCATCTAAAACAGCCACAGTTTTACAGCAGCCATCAAAGATATCGATTGTAAGGCCCAGCATTATTTCTTGAACAGCTATATACTGAAATGCTAAAAATGTGTGGTATGTAGGATCTAGTCTGAGACCCTTCTTCTGCTTCATAAATAGTATTTTGATTTTTAAACTGGGAAGACTGCCAGACTGGCTCATTGACTGCATGTTGTAAGTAGAAAATGAGTTTTTGGACATTGTATTACTTTTTTTTTGCAAATTTCACAGAAATGAAGTATTGTGAATGACCTCTGCCTGTATATCTGAATGCTGATATTGATCGGTAAGGTACTAGTTACTAAACACACAAGATTAAGTATTTCATTCATTCTTTCCCTGTTTTGAGGCTTATCTGCTTCCAGCATTGTGGGAGACATTCATTCATGTGAGCAATTTGTGTTCTTGTGGCAGGTGGATGTTGTTTGTGGGGACCATTTGCTGGACAGGTGCCAGTCACTGAGAGACATTCAAAATACCATGGGGGAGAGTGCTATCCAGGTTGGTATCCAGACAAATGCGTATCCTATGCCAGTGGTTTATGCAGGCAGCTGGTTACTCTTGACAGTTTAAGGGTGTCTTCAGATAGTACTGAAATATGCAGCTTTGCTTTTTAGGTATTAAAATTGGAACACTTTATTCCAATTTATTTGTTAAACCTGTGGACTCTCAGACTATTCTACGTATTGCACATGTATGACCTCATACCTAGACATAAACATGGAAAGACTTCATCACAGTCTACTCTTTCTCTATACTGTAGTACTCATCAGTGAAGCCCTGACATATATAATGCCATTTGCAGAAATAAATCAAATGGTCATTTCAGTAAGATAGAAACAAATCAAAATGTGCTTGACAGTCTAATTAAACAGAAGTTCTGACAGCCTGACTGCTTTGTAGAGAGCTTCCAGTGGACCACAACAGTGAAAAGTAATCAGCTACAGCCAGCTAGCAAGCCAATTATATCACCGAAGAGGGTTTATTCTTGAGGTGAAGCACATTTCATCCAGTTTTATGGAGTGTTTTCTTCAAACATTTCAGAAACATGAGGTGCCACTGTGCATGTCAGTGCTACAATGGAGAAATAACTCAGAGAATGACCGTATATACAGCAAAAGTATTCACCCCCTTAATAATGTCCCATTTTGTCAAATGATAAATGACATTTACATTTTTGGGAATATTTTGATCAAAACATGAATGCTCGAACTGAATACTCATTTTTTAGACAAAAATCATTAAAGTATGTATTACACAATAACATTTAATTTACGTGTAATAATGAATTTATATGAATTGCATAGAAAAAACAACTGAATACTGTTTTGAGTGAAAGATGTTTAATGTCAGCAAACACTGGAAAGGAAAATCCATTTGTGTCAGTGTTCTAATATGATAAAGAGCAGACATGGATGATGTATTTGGCAGTTTAGGCACTCTTTGTGTCCTCTGTATATAGGAGAAACATAACAGAAAGCTGTTTTGATGAAATTATTATAACCTCCCCTCTACTTCATCAGAAGGTTTCAGATTGCATGGCTCATTGCCTTCAGTCCTTTCAGGGGCTCTGTGTTTGAACAGCAGTGTGATCACTGGCGCTTAGAAATTGTAGAGTCAGCAAGTCCTGATTGAATGTTTCTGGTGGCATCTGTCAGCATCCCAATTACAAACCCATCACCTGAGTGTAATTGCTTTCCTTCTTGCATTGACTTCAGTATATTATGTAGAGAATTCAGTGTTATTGATTCCGCAGCCAAAAGAGTAATTTGACTGATTTTGTCTTTATTGTAAGGCTGTCACAAACCTGGTTATCTTTTTCTGAAGAAAAAGAAGTTCAGAGGCCTGTATAAAAAAAAAAGCTTCTGTGATGGTCCCTTACTGAAATCTTAGTCATTTTCGGTTAATAGTTAATTCTTTTAGATCTGTATATTGCTATTAGATCTAGCAGAATAGACCACAGCTTCATGGAACAGTAGTATAGCACTTGGTTAATTTTTCATGCAGATCTTACCTTAATCAGGATTTTAAAATAAAGTAAGGTTTCAGCATTTGCTAATTTATTTTTCATGGCTTTGATTATTCGCAAGCAAAGGTCACTTGGGCAGCAATGTGGGGCTCTGGTAAACCAAAGTGAAACGCATTCTGGGTGTTGCTGGGCAAGCAGGAGGGGAAGGTTTTGCCGACATGAACGAAAGCTTGGTTGATGGAAATGGGGTTGAAATAACAGAAGAGGACCTTGAAGAGCTTGTCAAAATTACCAAAGAAGGTAAAACCGAGTACAAAGAGGAAACAGAGCAAGCTAGTTATTACTTACACGAGGTTAATGAAATCTTTCAATACGCAAAACCACAGATGGAAAAGTTCACCGAATACAATCCCTCAATGGACGTGATTATCAAGGTCGCTCAGCAAATCAACCAGACGTAGCTCCTGTGCCAAGAAACTTGTAAGGAACTACATTGGATAACAAAACAACTGCTTGTCACGATGCTCTTTAAGAGAGAACTGTGATACTGCTGATACGCCACAGCCTGTACTCTCTCCCACAATCGCTGTCTTCATCTCCTCTATGAGTCTCCTTTGACTTTGATCCTGATGACCTATTAGTAGGTGTGGAGGAAACGAACCTTCCAGAATGGCAAATCAGCTGGTGTTACTATTACACCACTTTTAAATGGTTAATGCACATCCATGTTGTAACTTCCGAATGCATCTAAGACTTTTACATAGCAGCGTAGCCCCAGATCAAACCTGGAACAGTGGCATTTAGTAATGAGCTATAAAAGTTGCAGTTTTTATACAAAACAAAGGGATCTACAGATTCCTTGGATCAATTGGTAACTAACCACCAAATGGACAAGATGGGCCGAATGCCCTTCTCTTGCTTGTAACCTTTCTTGCGTTCTTATGATTACACGTTTGTTTCCTGTAACAATATGTGAAGATTAGACAATTAAAATCTTCATCACGCATCAGAGAAACTGAAGCGACTCGCGAATAAAGGTGTGATGTTTTTGTTTGCATTCCCTTTGTTTTTCTACGTCTTTAATTCTGTGCATTAAAGATTCGAACAGTGTAACGTTTCTTTTCAGGGCGATGTGCTACAGGGGAGACAGTCACAGCCTTGTCTGAAGCTTTGTGTCTTACAGGAAGACCCATCAGATCTGTACAGAGCAAGAAGCAGATCTTAGAGAGTACCCCCGTTTGTTAGCGTGGTTCAGCTCTCCTGAAAGACTGCATCCCAGCTTGTAAAGGGCAGTTCCTGACAGGCGGTGTTAATCCTGGGAGGGCGTGACAGCAGTAATAGGGAGACAAAGCTGAAATAAGGTTGCCCTCTCTCAGGGGGCCATGGCTTTATGCTTTATACAGCAATGCGGCAAAAGCAGGAGGTGTTCTGAGGCTGTGCCTGGATATCAGACTGGAGAAGAAGAAATGCATTCATACAGCTTGCATTATGCATACTGCTTCGTTGTGCTTTAGCAGCAGCATCTTACATAAGAAAACTTTTTTTAATGCAGCCTTCGTAATATTTCTAAGGCAGGAATTCATATTTAGTCTATTTCTTTTCTTTTAATGCCTGTACCAGGGGTAATAGTACACATGGCAAGTGTGAGATGCCCTGTAGAATAGGTTTTTGTTTTTGCTCTTGTAAAAGTTGGGACTTTTACAATTATTGGTATATTGCAACACTCTGGAATGGTCATTGGATTACAGAGTCCAATCAGGGTACCGTTTTGGTGAATTTCATTGCTTTTTGGAAGTAAAATCTTTCTCCTTGTTTTCCTACTGTACTTTGTAAAAATGCTCAGATTGACTTTGCACTGACATTTTTCTCGATTTCTTCGTATTGTATGTAATGCTTTAATATAAAGTTTCCTCCTTTTTTGTTTTTTATAATTTCTGTATTCAACTTTACTCCTTCAAGATTCCCTTATTTAGAAGTACAATTACTAAAACTATTGCATTTCACTACGTAAATTTATTCATCTTAATTCTAAGGCCTCATGTACAGACATGATGAGATCTCTTCAATAAAGCTGTCCTTGGTGGGGAAATACATGAAATTGCTTATTCGTGTTCAAACGTTCTTTTTTTCTGGTAGTTTTGCGTTAGATGAGTGGAACTGCCTGTAGCACCCGTGTTCAGGAGAGGAGCTGCAGTTTCAGTCTGTTCTGTTCCTGCCCTCCTGCTGTTTGTTTCCTGATTAGAGGTTTTGACTGGCTGGAAGACGGGGACAGTGGAGTTCATGTCATTGATAACCCAGGTCCTTGCCTTTCTCTTTAGCTCTAGGGGGAACTGGGGAACTGCAAGAAACAAGAGCCACCCCCCAGCACTGATGTTATAATAAGACCACAGGAAAAAGAAAGGGTATTGCCAGTCTAGCATTGTGATATTTACATATACTATGTATTAAAAAACCCTAATTAAGCAGAGTTAAAAACTCATTAAATTTTAGCACAAAGCATTTATTTACAAAATGTGAATCATTTTGTTGTGCACAGCTCTAAAGTTTTATTCCTCCATTTGTAGAGTTTATATAATGCAAAATGTTAATTTCAGATGGACCAGACTGAAACATGTACAATACAGGATTGCATCATACAAATAGAGCTCAAGGGATTAGGGGATAAAATGTATATAATATGTGTATATACAGTACATAATATAAGAAATGTATTAGTGCTGAGAGGTATTGGGGGGGGGGGTTGGAAATGTTAGGATAAGGGATGATGATCCGAGATCTTTTATTGTGAATAAAACTTAATTAAAGATTAGGGAGGAGAAAACCTATGCAGCATACGGCTTTGTTCATCTACTATAAGCCCTGCAGACATGGAAAGGTTGGAGGTCAGAGATTAGAGTGCTTTTTTCTGACACTTTTATGTTAGGTGGATTTATATTACAATTAAATTCATCCCTTGCGGCATCCAGTTTTTAAATCTCGCTGCAAAGCAGGCAATAAAAAATGAAAAAGATAGGCCTTGTCATGTCATCCATACACATGCACAGACAACAGAATGCCTTTTACAAAAAGGTGGCTTGGAATTTCCAAGCGATATTGTGCTAGTGCTGTATTTATTTTTATGAGGCACTGGGCATTAGGAGTCATAAAATCAAAACTGTAGCAGGACCTTAATTCTGTTTTGCCTTCTTCCTGGTCTGGATTTATTTCTGTAGGTTATGGTCTATGAGATGTTCTGAATGCAGTATGAAAGGAATCCTTTAAATGTTTATTGTTTCATACTGTTACAGAGCATTTCATTGAACTAAATACTACTTAGCCCTCTTAATATTACAGTGCTTCAATCAGTGTTAAGTATGCTTCAGAAATAATTTTTGTTGCTTAGTAACCAGATGTTACCGTACGGGTTTCTTTTAGCGAGGGAAGTGCTGGCTGGCAGGTGGTTTAACATTAGTGCCTTTGTTTTTGTTCGAGTTACCACACAAGTACAAGTCATCTTTAAACACATGTACATCTCAGTTTCTCCAGAGCATTG